CAGCGGGACGGGCGGCTTGCGTCGGTCCCGACTTGCCGGCTTTTCAGTCACTTTTGCGCTGGACCGCCTCCCCCCCTTGGTGGCACTGTCGCTGCCAGCTTCTCGCCAGCTCCGGTGAGCGGTGGGCTGCTTCCATTGGCGGAGAGAAGCAAACTTTGCTTCCTTTCGCAGAGTCGGTCTCCTGCGGGGACAAGGAGTGAAAGCACAAGTCGGGTCCGGGCGTGTGACGCGCGCGGGGCGCCGGGCTGTCGTTTAAGGGCAGGCACGGGACTCCGGCTCGGGGGTCGCTGCCGGGCAAACTTCCCCCTCCCCAGCCTTTTACTTTTCAGACTGCTCAGTTCCAGCAATGCCTCGTGTTCCTGCTTGGTATTCTGGAAAAGTCACTTTATGCATATTGTTATCATTGCAGTAGTTGTCTTTGCCGCTTTCATTTCCATCTCATTAGCTGAAATAATTACTGTATCCTCAAAATGCCTCGCGCGCGATGATGTCGGTGGGCGTGTTTGTTTCCTCTGATATGAATCCTACGGTATTTGAATTGGCTCGGTTCCTTAGTGAAGGCATAATTGGCCGCATTGGCTACAAGAACCCCCCCCCCCATCGCTTTTAAGATAATTGTTTTACTATGTTAATTAAAATTCAATTATATGCATGTTTGCCAATCTCTGTTTTGTCGTGTAACTGCGCAGAGTTAGACTGCGGTATTGGCGCGCGGTGAAAAGGCGCGTGGACGAAGGCCGAGAGAGGCTTTGCGGAATCTGATGCGTAGATGCCCGCCAGTTTTGGCTACGCGAAGTGGGTGTGCCTAAAATATCCCCCCGCCCCCCCCAAAAAGCCGTGGCTTCACTAAGTGGGTGTGCCTATAATAAGGGAAAACACTGGTTGTGGAGCAGGAGGCGCGCTAGTGCAGAACAGAAGTGGAGGGTGGGTTGTGCAATTGAGTACTTGTCTGTTTATATTGTAGCTTTGTTGAATTAATTAACGGAGGCCTAGTTGATACTATACTTTTTACTGAATGTATATTTTAGAGCTGGGCTGGCATTTTGGAGAAAATACATTTCTGGTCAATCTTCTGAGAAGGTTTACGTACTGTAGCTTCTCTTGAACTGTTGAAAAGTATTTATCCCGGCCCATAAAATGATTTTTTTTTTCCCACTTAGGCCAGGGCTTTTTAGGAGCATCCTTAGATTCAGATATAATCTTATTATAACTTTGCTTACTTTTTTACAAACTGTTTATCTTCCTGGTATAGCTACATAATAGTGTATTTCAGTCTTAATTAACATAAGATTTATTGGAAAAGAAGTTTGGGAGAATCTCTCTTCTCATCAAAGAGGTTGGACAGTTCTCTCAATGTTCCCAAAGAATATCTGGCAAAATTTCTCCTCCCAATTCACTATTTACCAGTGAAGTGGAATATTTTGACACTGTCACCAAGGATGGTCCTTGGCATATTATGAAAAAAGCAAGAACAGAGAGTTAGACGCTAAGTTGCAAATCCTTTAAGTGTTTTTAAACTACATCTCCCAGCCATCTTCCATTGGCGTGACCACTGATTGTAATAACTGGGAGTGCTGGATATTGTAACTGAACACATTTGCGGGGCTCCAGGTTGAAGAAAGCTGCTTGACATTATGCAAGGCTTTTGTCTCTAAGCCTTAACTCTTTGGAAGAGGGTCATATATGTCTGCACATTTAAAAGTGCAACTGATTGATAAACTAGAATCAGTTGAAATTAGCAAGAGATTTGGTGTGCACCCATGATATATGTAGCCCATTTGTACTGGGCAGTTGCCTTCTGCAGGAATTATACTGATATGTGGTATATTAGAGTGGTAAACTAATCCAAGTTGGTTCTAGGTCAGTTGTACTAAGGATTAATTTCTTTACAGCTGTAAAGCACCATACTATAGATATGAATTTTATTTATTTATGTAGTTATTTGCAAGGCCTATAGGCCACTGTAATCTGCTGACTGAGCAGTGAGTAAAAGCTTTAATAATAATAAAAAGCAACCCATTCTCCCAACCAGTTACAAGAGTCGGTTGCAATAAACCAGTTTCCCTGGTTTGATGGAAGAATCAGCTTTTCACCAGCTTCCTAAAAGCCAGAAGGGAAGGTGGCAATCACACATTGGCAGAGTGCTATTCGTGAGGGGGGGGGAGCAACAACTGAAAAGGTGCCCCTAAAGGTGACAGTCTCTAACTGAGGGGACATCTAGTGAGTCTGCTCTGCTACATTTTATTGGACAGGCAGATGTTACATGGAAAAGGTGATTTCACAAATATGAACCGTGCTGAACCATGAAGGGCTTTAAAGGTGACAGCCAGCACCTTGAATTCCACCCAGAAGCCACCTGGCAACCGGTGCAGCTCTCAGAGTAAAAGTGTTACATTCATGCCTGAAAGGTCCCTGACCTGGTGCATTCTGGACCAGCCGTAGCTTTGGAGTGGTCTAGCACCAGAATTTACAGGTGGTCCTCCATCCAAGTACTAACCCAGGACAACCCTGCTTCTGAGATCATCCAAGATCAACTGGGTGCTGCCCTGCTGAGGCAAATCTGTAATTAGTAGTAATATGATGTATTAACCCCTTCTGCCAAAAGAAAAACTCTGAAAAAGCAACAATACATTTCTGCAGCTCATGAGGTATCAGAAATATAGTGCAGGCACTATTTTTTCACCTGAGTTGCAACTCAAGAAGTAAACCGGTTCCATGTTCTGGTAATCAAAGTGATAAAAGGGATTCGAGGTGATATTATGCATCATTTTTTAAAAGCCAGTCCCATTGTACTCAGTGGCACTTACTCCCAGCTAAGAGCACATAGGATTGCAGCCTAATGTTATTTAAACTGCACTAGATACAATTATTTAAGGCCCAATTTTAAGAACCTTAAACTTCTTAAATTTAGTACTGTGCTGTTTTAAATTGGTTTTGCCTTCTTCTCTGCCCCCTATTGATCACACACTCTTTTGTAAATATTATTGCGATCAGGTACATAAAGCATTTTTGACACTTTGAAATGCAGTATTGTAATTCTTGTTAAGGAAAAGTCGAAGTACACTGGCATTTAAAATGGAATTCGATGTCTTACTGAAACATAAACTTCGCTGATTTGTCTTCTTTTATTAAGTCATTAATAAATCTCTCCAAGAGGAAAGGAAAATACATTGCATCCATTACATTAGTGTAACTTTCTGGCTTTTTCTTCACATATAATGCATTGATTATTAATCCATCAGCACTCTGGACTAGTCTTGATTTTGAGAGAGTTGAAGAGTTAACTTGAAGAGTTAATTTGCAAAAGAGCTGCTCCCTTGGGTGTAATTAAAGCTGGGCACAAAATGCTTTTCACATTGTAGACATGTGTTGCTGGCACAGTTTTGCAGGGAATCCTGCCCACATGCTTTAACTGACTGTTGTTGGACTCTGTATATGCAAGGGGTAAACATTCGTTCTTTCCAGAAAGGGAGGAGCTTCTAGGAGAAAGGCTGGGAACAAAACTGTATTTGATTGCCTAAAGGAATAAGACTGGGTGGAATAAACTGACTGTCATTGGCAAGCTCCAAATCATGTGTGCCAAAGCTCCCTTGTTCTTCCTTTGCTTTTATGCCATGTGGAAGCAAACAGCCTTTTTATGTTTGCTAATTGTGAAAACAGATTTCCTACTTTGTTTTTCATGAACTTCTTGGTAATGTGAATCTATTCTGTGTTATTAAGGAAAGAAGATGTGTATGTACTGAGAGACCAGGGCTACATTTTCTCCTGAAAAACTTTAGTTGTGGCCAAGAGTTCCTCCAAAGATAGCTGCCACAGGGTAATTTGCAGTGTTACAAAATGGAACAAATATTACATCCCAGACAAAGCATCATATTATAGGTATTTAAGTAATTTAATTCTAATTGAATCAAATCAGATTTAGTTTTGGCTTTACCCACTTCCTTGTTATGGTCCTACCCAACTTTTGTTTAATTCAGAACTAAGCAATCTGTGGGCTGAATTCCAGTGGCATATTATATTGCTGAATTTTGGCAGCATAATGAAGGGGGATTACAAGCTTCACAAATGGTTTGGAAGAAGCACTTTAAATTTTGTACAAACACAACACCCCCTCTGCTTTCCATTAAAGCAGCCTCACTTTTTCTGTGCAAGACTAAAATAATGATGCACTTACTTTAAGAGTCACATTAATAAGTCAATTTCTTAAAGCAGCTACATCTTTTTTCAAGATCTCCTGGAAGGAAAAAAAAAAGGCTGGCTGTTTTAATGAATAATGGAGAGGCATTGCACTTGAGAGTTACAATGAATCAGAAGTAACAAGATTCCAGTAATATTTTTTTATTAGGCAACCATGTGAAAGGACACACAGAGAAAAAAACATATGTCTGCATGTTCTCCTGGACTGGGGAGGCCGGTGCTTTGAGCCTTGCTTTACCAATGATATTTTGGGCTGCCTTTTCTAACATTACTCTTCTCTTCTGCCAATGTTCTTGATGTCTTTTGGAGATTCAGCTCTCAGTCATTTTCTTCTTTTCTGTTTTAAGTTTTCTTCCCTCTTCTACTGACTCATGTATCACACCATCACAATCCCCAAAGTTTGCAGGCCTAGCTCCCACATCCTGGGCCTAGCTCTGGAAAGCTATTAAGAGAAGGAGGGATATGGGCAATTTCATTACTGCACATCC